ACATACCACTTCGGTCTAGTCTCGCTCTTTTGAATTCGTAAATTACCATGTCAAGTTCGTTTTGAATGTATTTGCATTTTATCAGATTGAAAGTTTGATATACTACAATAAAAAATATTTATTAGGGTTCAAGTGTCATACTTTCGGTATCAACGTCAATATTGGCTATGAAACATACCACTTCGGTCTAGTCTCGTTTGCCGTGTTTTATGTGTGGGTCGATTTGAATAAATTATGTAAAAGTAGGCATTTTACCTTCCTTTAGTATGAATAAAATAATTACACGGCTTTCCGGATTTGACAAATTCGCTTATGGGGCATTGACGTTGGTCCGATCTAATTTTGGGTTGTTTTTAGGTGCTTATAGGTGTATTTCGACTTCTTGTTCGATTTTGATAAGGGTTTTAATAACACACCTTTGTTCCAAATATTTTCTATTACGGTTTGATTTATCCATTTGATAACTTTGTTTTGTTGCCGAGAATGTGATGTTGTTAGTTTCCTTTTATACCATTCTCTTCACAAAAAGCTACATGTGACGTTTCTTTTCAAATATATATATATATATATATATATATATATATATATATATATATAGAGAGAGAGAGAGAGAGAGAGAGAGAGAGAGAGAGATTAAACAGAGTAGGAACAAAATCAATAACTTCCTCCAGAAGAATGATAGGATAGTGGTTGGACAAAAACTGAGGATGTGCCACCAATTTGGAAAAAGCCATTTGTCTTCGAAGGATAGAAAGAAGGAATCAGTCTAGTTTGCTCATTTTGGATCCTGCCGTGTTATCCCATATGAAATTACGACCCCCGTCCTCGTCTCAGTTGAACCATGTAATTAAAAAAAATGTTGAATAAAGTTTCCAACATGATCGAAATCATAACCAAATCTATCTAAGGAAGACCAAACCTCATTAAAGTCACCAAAAATAACAATCAGCCCACCGAATCTCCTAAAATGTAGGAAAGTTGAGCCGAGAGGATTGATGCTTTCGTCCATAAATTTAAGGAAACTTCCAAAATGATCAAATCAATGAGTTTAAAAATTCTAGAGTTACACCTTCTAATAGCATGGTATGTCTCTAGGCAATCAATCACGAGATTAAGGGGAATCCTCGAGACAAGAAAATCGTTTTGAACTATAATAAGTTTGAAACATTTAGCTCTCCAAACCACCGATTGTGGTTTAATGGGGATGGATAAAGTTGTAATTTAGTTATTGGTCGCACACTCTAGAAGATCTCATGATACATCATATATAAATAAAGAGGACGGTAAAGCGTGGATAAGGGGGAAGGCTATTGTGTTGGGGATTCCATTACTTGTAGGAGCCCAAAATATAATGAGTATTGGGATCAACAATGACATAACTCTTCCCATGGGTTGGACTTGACTCTAAGAGGCCCAAATTCAAAGTGTTATGCGATGGCGTAACAATATGAGCCCTATTTCTTGAAAACTCATCCAGAAGTGCTTTACATAACAGACTTTGTTGGACATACAAGTGTTCAGTTAAAGGGTCAATGTTGGCAAGAGTAATGACAAAGACATCATAGAAAAAGTGAACATATTTTCAAAACCTTAATATGCCATTGTGTTTACCCTTGAAGACGCAAAGGTTATTTTTTTCCAAACATAGGGGCATTGATTTTTTTTTTCCGAGAAACTGGAGTTTTAATCCTCATGAAATAGAAAACAAATTGTTGCAGACCCTTACCCTATAGAATATTTGTCACTGTATATTTTGAGTTGCAGGCACTGGGAAATGACAACAGTCTCAGTCATCGGAGCATAGAGAAGAAGGGGGATTGGTGAAACTCCCTTGACCAAAACGATGATGAAAGTATTCTTCCAAGCTTTCTTCGCCGATCTAACCCCTAAATCACTCCTCGTTATTGTCAAACTCGATTGAAAAGTCTGACTACGACATAATGGAATGGAATCGTGGGTTTAGAATTCATAATTATAGAATGAACTTTTAATTTTTCCTTTATTGTATTGATCCTTAGGGGTACCTTAACACTATCCACCAGAATAGTTTCGTTAGCCATGATTATATTGCTAGATGCGATTTTCACCCAACCCACCTTTTATCAATCCTAATCAAGGTGTACGGATTATCCATGCTAAATGGTACCCCTTAAATGAGAAAACATACAATTATCTCATTATATGAAAACTTTATATGCCATATACATAGCTCAGAAAAAAAAAGGATTTAATCATTTAATCTTATGTTTAGTGGAGAAGGTTGCTTCAGATTAAAGTCAAATTCAAGAACCACCCATAGCCCTACCATTTATTGCTAGAAATATCAGGGAATCCTTCTTTTTGAAAGATAAGTGCTTGAGTGCTTGCAAAACAGGCAACCTTCTCATGACCTTTTTCTATCAGTAGATCCACACGCTCAACCAAATAAGAAAAGGAGAGGAGTTGTTTGTAGGGATATTGCATGGGTTAGTGAGAAGGAGCGAATGTAAAATCACCCTTCCTTTTAACAACTTTTGAGAAAGAAAGCGTTGCCAAAAAATCGACCATCTGGAAGACCCAAAAAATGAGATGTTGGAGATTTCTTATGAGGCCTATGAAACAATAAACCATTGTTGGCCACCCCTATATATTTCGACCATATATTTGTGACACATACATATAGGTTTTGTGACTGGATTAAGATTTAACATGACTTTTTGGTAAATGACTCCCGGTGAAAAACCTTAGAAACCCTGCAAACCCAAACTTTTTTCCATATTTGTTAATCTTCCTAGTAATGAAAACATTAGTAACTGTCACATACCTCTTGAATGTTGTCCACAAGCCTTAAGTGTCCCAATTAGATAGGAAGTTAAATAAGTACAAGGTTGAAGGGGTCTTGTAACGTTCCTTAATTTGTATTTGTTAAGCATCCTATCAATGAAAATGCCAGTAAGGCAGTAATTCTATGCCTCTTCAATGCTTTCAACAAGGCTTTAGTGTCCCAGTCAAATGGGAAGTTAGAATAGTAGAAGGTTGAAAAAATCTTGTGAAGATCCTCACTGTTGAATATTATGGAAACCCGTTAATTAGGGTCACGTATATTGCAATCAATATCTATGGATGCATATTACACAATGGGTCCCTATACTATACACATATATAAAAGGAGAATAAATACATTTAACACACCCCAATAGTTTGAGCGGGGGAAGCCCGATCGTTCAAACTATTTCTAAAATCAAGAAACAACCGCATAAGTAGACCCCTTATGAAAACATATGCATACTAATAAGACGATGGAACATGCAACACATGCATATGACCAATCGCAACACGTTTCCTAACAAAATGTAAATCAATTTCCACATGCTTGGTTCTTTGGTCCTGAACCGGGTTGGATGCGAAATACATGGCATTGACATTTTCTCAAAATAAGATAACTCATGAAGAAGATTTTGAAGCTAATCAGTTTCAGCAACTACATTGGCAATCCCCCAGTACTCGGATTCGACACTAGAACAAGAAACACCATGTTGCCGTTTGGAGGACCATGAGATGAGGTTATAACCAAGATAGAAACAGAACCCAGACATGGACCGACGAATTATAGGACACCTAACCCAATCAACATCAGAGTAAGCAACCAACCGACCAATGCCTGACACACAAATATGAAGACTATGCATTATGGTACCTTGAATGTACCGTAAGATGCGTTTGAGAGCATTGAATTGCGGATCACATGAGTCATGCATAAAAAGGCAGACCTGCTGCACAACATAAGCAATATCCGGATGAGTAAAATTCAAGTATTGCAATCCTCCGGCAAGGCTTCGATAAAGAGTAGGATCAAAAACAGTCTCACCTCCAACGGCGATCTTGGCTTTGGTGTCAGTGAAAGTGTTGCAGGCATTACACGTAGCCATATCATCTCGTGAAAGAATTTCCTGAGCAAAACCAGATTGAGAGAGGAAAAGGCCAGAGGATGTGTAAGAGGCAGCTATGCCTAGAAAAAAAGTTGGCCAAGATCAGACATTGGAAACTCAGACGAAAGCTGAGAGATAACTTTGGAAATCAAAGAGGAAGAAGAAGCAATAAGGATGATATCATCTACATACAAAAGAAGTTAGATAGTATCAGGCCCATGAGGATGATATCATCTACATACAAAATAAGTTAGATAGTATCAGACCCATGATGGTAAATAAATAGAGAATTATCAGATTTACTACTAAAAAAATCCAATAGACGAGAGGTAGATATGAAAACACTGATACCACGCATGAGGAGCCTGCTTGAGTCCATAAAAAGCCTTTCGCAGATGACAGACAAGATCAGGAAACTAAGTGTTGACATAGTTAGGGGGTTGGCACATGTAAACAGTTTCAACAAGGCCATCATGAAGAAAGACATTGTAACATCAAGCTGATGAATATGCCAATGACGGGATACGAGAATGCTAAGAAGAATGCAAATGATGGCTGGTTTAACAACATGACTGAAAGTGTCATCAAAATCTAAAACCAGGCTGCTGAGAGAAACCCTACACAACAAGAAGTCCTTTGCTGAGAGCGCCAATGAGTGTCACACATAGCCTGGGCAGTAGAGCGAGGAATAGGAGATATATCATAAGTGGCGGCAAGGTTGAAGATATGCTTTGGCCGGAGAGAGCCAGTACGAGATCTGATCACCATCGGATGACCAATGGTAGTTGACAAGAAGAACAATACCATTACCAACCATAATAAATTTTGATTTACACGAATTTAGAGAATGTATTATACCTTGGTTGAAAGTTGTATGTGACCTTGCTCCCGAGTCTATGTAGTAATTATTTTCTTGTGGAGGTTGGACAGACATGGCCTGAAAAATGGAGGCAAGATCCGTGAATTGGTGTGGTTGGTGTTGTGAGGTGAGACCTCTAAAAGAGGTCTGTAGCTGCGGTGAATATGATTTGGACCAAGCGAGGTTGCGTAAGCAGTTCGTAGCGACGATTGTCGATGCTGTTTTCTGAGGTAATGAGGATGTTGAGTCGGCTGGAAGGTGCCAAAGGCAGTGTCGGGCAACAGCTGCTGAGGCGCAAGAGGAGAGACGGAAGCTTTGACCACCGAGAGCAGCAGGCGGAAGCTACTGATGAGCGACGTACAACCGGTTGAACATGTTGCAGAGGCAGATTGAAAGCAGGAGGAGCACCAAGGAGTCCTTGTGATTGATTCGCAGCAGGTCCGAATGTATTGAGTGCGCCAAAAAAAGCTTGATTCTGTCGCGTAACAACCTATGAACCTGAAAAAGAATTAGGGGTAGATGAGACATTAGTATTACCCCCTCCTTTGGAACCAAATCGCCCATTGTTTTTACCCCTATTAAATTTATTTTTTGATTTTCCGTTTGTGTGAGTGGAGGAGTATAACGCAGCTGGAGAGGATTGTATGACATCACTGATTCCATCGATGGATTGTTCACGAGACTCATGGAGAAAGAGCATGTTATTAGCCTCAAGAAATGAGGGGAATGGCTTTGTGTTGGTGATGACATCGATAATGCTATGATAATAAGGTGTAAGTTGGTGATGTATTTGCATCACAAGCTCAATTTCATCAATTTTTCAGTCACAATCCTCAAGTTCCTCGGCTAAATTCTTTAATTGGTGACCATAATCGATAATGGAGGAAGAACCATTCTTGGTATTGTGAAATTGGTTTTAAAGTTGAAGCATTCGTGATAATCTGGGAGTCAATTGACTCCCAGTCCGCATCATCATTACCTTGAGGAGTGGATGACCATGTACTTTGGCACTCTTGCACATGTCTAAGAATATACGCTTCCATAATTTGTATTTTGAACCATCAACAAATAGCTTGAAACTAAATTAAGAGCATACATTAGTAAGTGAAAAAACCAATTGGTTGGTTGTTGGAGTCGTGAGGGTGCTCGATGATGCAGAGGAAGACATATTGTCGGAGAAAATCGAAGAAACAAATAATAATAGAGGCATAAAATAACAAAAAAAAAAAAAGCTTAACCTTTGGTAGGGAGAATAGTAATGTACCAATAACCTAATACTTTAGATGAGAAGGTAGGCGAGAACAACGACGAGAACCACAATTATGCTGCAAGGGAAGGCATCAACAAGACGGCAGCAACCGGTGGCGATCAACGATGCACTCATGACAGTGGTTATCGATCAACAGTGAAGACACTGGAAAAAAATACCAACTATTTTTAGGGTAGACCTAGAATTGTGTGGCTCCATACCATGTTGAATATTGTAGAAACCCGTTAGTTAGGGTTACGTATATTGCAATCAATATATATGGATACATACTATACACATATATAAAAAGGAGAATAAATACATTTAACACTCACTAATAAAATATCATCAACGAAGTAGAAGGTTGATGTGATCTAGTTCACGGGTAACTCTCTTCTAGTTGATTTCTTGTCTATCTTTTCATGTCATGATTGCAACTAATTAAAACAATTCATTTACAGCTTTATATAACTTTTATGGTTTATTTTCCTTCTAAATTTCTTCTTGTTGGCATTTAAAGAGAGTTTAAAGAGAGACTGTATTTGTTAGACATGTAGAAATATTTAATGTTGATGTTATTAAATAATATGTGAGCACTTTAATTTATTTATGGCCCATAACATTGTTAGTCATATACAGTAGAACCTCTATAATTTAATACTCGATAATATATAACCTCGATAAAATTAATAATTTGTCTGGGACCAATACAAAATTGGACCCCAATCAATAAAATAATAAATTAATAAATTTTTTGAAATCCCAGTGTAAATATATTGGTCCCAACGAAACTATAAATTAATAATTACTAAAATATTCTAAAATTCTAGAATTGTCTAGTAAAAAATGAATCTATAATCACTTGTTTTTTTTTTGTTAACTTCGAATCTATATTGAGTTTGATATTGTTCTTTGACTAACTTTCAAATCGAAAATTTTGTCAACCCACTTCACCAAATCCTGTTGAGTGCATCCTTGTTTGTCAACCCACTTCACCAAATCCTGTTGAGTGCATCCTTGTTTGTCAACCCACTTCACCAAATCCTGTTGAGTGCATCCTTGATGATCTTTCTGATACTCGCATAATATGTGAGCACTTTAATTTATTTATGGCCCATAAACATCGTTAGTCATATATTGATTTAGTCTAGAAGTTTACAAGTGTCTCATGCCATTGATATAAAAGCAAATTCCTTATTATATATATCGCACTTCCATGCTCAAGACCCAATAAGGATATCCGAGTTCATGTTTTGTTAGGTGTCGCCATTCCTTTGGTGTTGCAATCTTTTTCTACATCCATATATTTGAATTTACCAGTATAGTTTCTTGTTTGTCAATATCTAATTAAATTATACTTTGTAGTTCTTACAGATTCCATCATCACCGGGATTATTGTGATGCACAAGTGCTTGAGGATGCATCAATTATTGGAAATAACAACACCACCAATTCTATCAGCTCAACTACATCATATCTACCATCATCCTACATAGGAGACAACTCGATAGGAAGCACTACCAATATCAACAACAATAGCCTTATTGGGTCAACTACGTCATATTTACCAATTTCTGCCATGGGAAGCAACAACAACATCAACAACCTAATAGACTCAACTATGTCACATCTACAAACGTTCAACAGTCACATAGGATTCACTACACCACATCTAGGTCCTCAGATTTCCTCCATCCAGAACCAGACCAGCCAGTCTGGGTTGTCTCCTTTAATAACTGAGCATGAGAGCCTTACGAATGACCCATCATGGGGATTAAACTTGGCAAGGATTCCTTATAATATCTCTTCTCTTTCATCAACTCCACAAAACCAACATGAATTTCAGGAAAAAACTGGGATGGGGTATTACACAAATCTAATGAATATCGAATATAGCAATGTGAACCCTGAGAATACCAGCTTTATGGGAGATGTTAGCCAATATGGAAGTGTGGAAGGATCGAACTTATATTCAGGTCCAGGTATGATACTTAATAACTCAATTTTTCTTAATCTGACATCATATGCGACTAGCTAACGCTACTTTTGGAACACTCAACTTTTGAGTATACTTGGTAGAGTTCTAGAACCAGCATCACTTCTAATATGGTACAAGGCTTTGCAGGGACTTCCTCCAGTGAATTTCAAGGGTTTAGCATGCTTCCTATTGGCACACCTAATCTTGTTGCAAACATGGATCTGTATGGCTCAACTTCTGGAAACAGTAATGCTTCTAACATGGTGCAACCATATGCAATGTCTTCCTCTAGCTATGGTGGATTTATCATCCCACAAGAGCACAATTCTCTCTTTGACAGCCAGCACTTCGGGATTGCAGAAAACAGTGGATTTCATGATATCATGAACTCACTCCATAATCCGGTAACTGGCAGAGGTGTTGAATTCTCTACTATCAACGAGGATGTTGGTAGTAGCTACAACCAAGGGAATTACAGTGGTTATGTCGATGGTAGTGGATACATCAACTATGGAGCTGAAAGAGAAGTTTGGAACTCAGGAACAGGAACAACAATGGGAGCAGACGAAGATCAGTACTGGAACCAACATGGGTTTGGGTTTTGAATGATCCACTGGGTTCATGTTAACTTTCACTACTGTTGGATTTCATGGGTATTATGCAAGAAGAATAAAGCAAGTGCGTATGGTGTTTTCGGTTTCTAGTTTAGTTGCTTCACAACTTTTTATATATCTGAATGAAATGCTCAAGATGTTTGTATTGGTTTGAGTAAATTACACGAATGGTCCCTATGGTTTGGGGTAATTTGCACGCTTGGTCCCTAACTTATTTTTTTAACTTGGAAGGTTCCTACTGTTTCTTTTTGTTACACGCTTGGTCTCTACTATTTGTTTTTGTTACGCGTTTGGTCCTTGTCTTACCTAAAAAGACTATTATTTAAATAGAGAAAAATGATGTGGTAGGTAAGACAGGGACCAAGCGTGTAACAAAAACAAACAGTAGGGACCTTCCGAGTTAAAAAAATAAGTTAGGGACCAAACGTGCAAATTACCCTAAACCATAAGGACCATTCGTGTAATTTACTCTATTGGTTTTTAGAATGATACTTGAACTTATTAGGAGAGGGTGTGTTGATACTTATGTGGGTGTGTTGATACTTTTGTTGATTGATTACTGCTCACTTGCTTCAGAGATATCTTAATTTTAGTTTTAAATTTAAATAAATGCTAGTTACTAGTGTTAATTAAGCACCTGGTCGGTTTTATTTTTCTCTCTTTTGGTTCCTTTTTTGTAGTTCACCTGTTTCACTTGTTAGATGCAAATTCACTACTAGTATTATTAAGAACTCGATGTTTTAATAAGTTTAGTATCATGCTCACTCAAACTACCATCCCCCTTTAGGTTCTTTGAACTCTGTTCGCATTCATCAATTTTCTTACACATTTGCAATCACTCTTATGCTCTATGTGCAATATAAATAAGCCATTGCATTCATTTATGTCTTTTTATTTGTTTAAACTCTTTCCTTTTCTTTTTCATGGATAACCTTATCATCCAGAATATGTTTACTAAATTCATTACAGTTACACAAATGAACAAAAAACAATAAATCAATCACCCAACTTGAAAAACTGAAGAAGGAAGAAATTAAGAATCTTAGTATCATGCAACTATAACTACAACAAACAAAAATCATAAATTTTCTAATTCAAGAGTTTATAACAAAATTTTATGAACGTTTGGTTTGGTCTGTTTGGAAGACTGCAATTGAGGGCCAAGGCTTCGAAAATCAAATGTTTTGGTTGTTTGACTTGAGTTCCATAACTGACGATTCGATTTCCGTTAATCAATTTCCCTCGCACCCAGCACCACCTTTTATATTTTCTTTTTTTCTGAAAATAAGTATATTTTGAAGCAAGGGTTCGAAAGTACTAGGGGTGTTGATCGGGTAATTTTTTCGGGTTTCGGGTAATTCGGGTCGGGTAATTCGGGTTTTTCATGTTAAAAAAAATACCCGTTACCCGACCCAAATTAAATTCGGATAATTCGGGTTTGGGTAATTCGGGTAGTGGATCGGGTTTGGGTAACTCAGGTAGTGGGTCGGATTCGGGTAATTCGGATAGTATCCGAAATATATAATTTTTTTTGAATTTCCCCTGAAAATAAATTTAATGAAATAAATATGTCATGCTTTATTAGTCTTGTTTATATAAACAAACGAGGCATAAACGAAGTTACTTAAACTTTGAACATTGAGATTTTTTAGTCAATAATACTTGAGATATCAAGTAATCTTTTAACAGCTTAATTTAATCTAATAAGATGTTAAAAAAACAAATACTTAAAGGTCTTAGTTTAAAAGTTTAAAATGTTTAAGATAATTGTAGCTAGGGTTGTCAAATATGTACCACGGAGAACCAACCAACATGTTACCAACCGAACCAAGAAAGTTGGTTACCAATATATTTGGTAGCCAACATGTTTGGTTGGTAGTACCGTACCAACAAATTCATATATATATATATATATATATATATATATATATATATATATATATATATATATATATATATATATATATATATATATATATAAACCAAATCGTATTTTTAAATGTGAACTGTTTATTGTTTACGATTTTAGAAAGTATGATATTAGACATTAAACTTAGTCGATAGTTATTACCACATTAGATAAAAAAAACTGAAAAGTTACTTATTAAAATTTTTTAGTAACTAAAATAGTTAATTTACTAATTTATATTAAATGTCCCATATCGTTACTAGTCTTTAACTATTACAATTGAAAATTAGAAAAAATTTGGTAATATACCATTACCAATTTGTACCAACCAAACTTGTTGGTAGCCAAACAAGTTGGTACCAAGTATAGTTGGTACGGTACTGGTAGCAAAAAAATTATACCAACTATAATTGGTACGGTACACGGTTTGAGTAAAAATCAACTGGTACCGTACCATGTTCAGCCCTAATTATAGCCATAAGTTTTGTCATGTTCTGAAGTTTCATCAAGATAATGAGTTTTTAATTGTAATAAAAACTATAATTTAGAAAATAGTTAAATTTAAAGAACATAGTGATATATAAACAATTGTTTTTAATATTGTTAGTGTCATACTGCCATAATAAAAGAGATTCATGTTTTACAATAATAATAGTTAGTTTAAGAGTGATCAAATACCTGCTACTGGGTACAAGCTCTACGAAAAAAATTAAAATAATTTGGGTAATTCGGGTATAACCGAAACCCAACAAATGTACCCTATACCTGACCGAAAAAAAAAAACCAGGTTACCCGAATACCCGAAAAAATTTACCCGATATCCGAAAAAATCGGGCGGGTAATTCGGGTATCGGGTATTTTCGAGAGGGCTATTCGAAACTCAAAAGTTCATTTCTCTATCAAATCGGGCCTCGCTTTTGGGTTCTTAACATTACCTAATCTTTTTTTTTTCTTTTTTGAATAATAACTATCAAATTGGGCTTCGCTTTTGGGCTATGGGCGATCTAGGTCGCCCCCACCATCTGAGACGAGCCATTGTCGAGAAGGTAATCGTTGTGAAACTTCATACTCTTCCTTGTGAATTTGAGATTCTCTGCTGAAAATGAATCCGTACAAGATTATCTGTCTCAGATGAATACAATTATAACCAAAAAGAAATTATATTAGGAGGAAATAACCGAATAATGGTTGTTTTAAAATTTTAATGAAATCTTACGTCTACATTTCATCCTAAGGAAGCCCATAGCATGTCTAATTATATATTTGATGAATTAATGAGTCGCTTACAATCTCATGAGGAAAGGTGGAATAGGTCACAAGAACAAAATAAGCAAAAAGTTTTTGCAGGTAAAGGGGGATTAAAGTTTTGGTGGTAGAGGATATGACGAAGTTGCTGTCTATAGAGGTAGAGTAAAACCTATATGTAATAAAGATAATGAAAAATTAAAAAAAAAAATGTATTTCTAGTTGTTGTACTATGAAATCCAAAGTTTATGGGTTCTATAATCAAATTGCTTAAAATTTGATTATTAGTATAGATGTCGTGATTAATGAGGATGCCAGATGATCTTGGAAAGAAAACAAATGGGTAAATTTTATTCCTTTCTCAAGTGCTATTATTGATTTTGTGCCACTTAAACCAAAATATGTGAGTCCAAATTTTTATGGTTCCATGTCGCATCAATATAGATTCTTTAAATAACAATTCAACTTCATCTTCACCATAAACGCTATTCACCATGTTCATCTATTGAAACTTCATATACAGGCCAGTCCTAGAAAATTTGGTGCCACGGACAAAATAAAAAGTTCGGGCCTTTATAATTTTTTTTTAGAGAACGGCACCTTTAGAAATTTTTATTAACTAAAAAAATAATATAATTGAATACTAGGACTCCCCACCTATGAAAAAAAAAAGCTTCACAAAGGCCATGAAAACCAAACAACCTAACAACTAATTATACATAACAACAAAATAAAAAGGCTATGAACATGCTTTGAACCCTAAGAGAATAACCTCTAAGAAATTCAAAAACCCCAACACATGTGGCTGGCATAATATTATGAAGTTCAGAAAAACGGGGAAATCAAAACAAGAAAGATTAACATTCAAAAATTGAAATTAAGCAAATGAAAAAGAAATTATCTCTAAAAATCGATAAGCAACTTACATGATTCACAATCAAAATGTCATAAACTTGGATTCTCAGATTCTACACAATAAAACAATATAAGATTCTGAACATCAGAAAACATTCATAAAAAATGACAAATTTACATAAATGGTCGTGGTTGACAAAATCGACCAATTATGGTCCTTACGACGAATTCTTTACATAGATGGTCAATGTGGTTTCAAAATCTTGCAGAGACGGTCCTTTGGGCTAAAGGTGTTAACTTTTTTAGTTAAGTTCTATGTGAAATGACATATTTGTCCTTCCAGCATAGGGACCATTTATGGAATTTGTTCCCGCCATAGGGATCATTTATGTAATTTTCTCTATTATTTATTTTTATTTTTACTTAATTTATTTATATATTTTAGGATTTAGATGTTTTTAAGATTTTGTTTGGATATGTTTTTTAATGTTTTTCTTTTATACTTTTTAGCAAATATTTTTTAACGTTTGTTCAAATAATTTTTTCTTATTTTTTTGACGTTTTTTCAAATACATTTATTGATGTTTTTTGATGTTCTATTGGAATAATTTTTTCTAATTCTTTTACGTTTTTTAAGTAGATTTTTAATGTTTTTATTAGGTTTTGTTTTTTATATTTTTTGAAGAATTTATAGTCACCGTTGTGGCAACCATTTTTTGGCAAGTATATATTTCAGACTTTTTGTCAAAATCAAAAGACTTGGAGCAGAGAGTTGTGATTGAAAGCGAAAAATACCTTCTAAGAACCCTTGGAAGGAAGAAGAATATTGGAAATCAATCTTTAGAGATTTTTAGAGGAAGAACATCATTAGATCATTCGGTTTGCTAGTTTTTACCATGTCTATTCTTGTTAAATCAGATTTCATGTGTGTTTCTACTTCAATTATGGGCTAAAACCTTATACTTTCGTTTAATGATAAGGA